AATTTCATCTGTAAGTACTGCAAATAGTACATGTAGAAGATAATTTTATTTAAAGTATTGGTAATTGAAGAAATAATTTTTTAACATTATCTAAGTCCTCAAATTTCCCAGACTATCTCAAAAAGTATTTTTTTTACAATCATTTGTTTGACTCAGAATTCAAAATAAGAGGCACACATTAGGATGTATTGTAAGTCATTTTAAATCTGTTTGTTTGAAGAAATTAATTTTTAAGTCTCTCATATCCTGGATTTTGCTGATTGCATCCTTATAATGCAGTCTTTTTAATGTGTTTTCCTTTATCTTTGAAACTTCCTGTAACCTGGGAGTTAGATCTGGAAGCTTGACGGTCAGAATCAGGTTCTCGTTTGACAGAGTAGTGCAGGGGCCGGGCCAGGCACTGGCTGGTGCATCACCTCGGGTGGCAAAACGTCAGTGGAATTGGGTGGCACAGGTAGCCTGACCTGGTTGCACAGGCCCCCATCAGCCTTTGGCCTCATGCTTTAAGCAGCAGTTGAGGATTATTGCCTAGATCAGTTATGTCACTAGGGTTACTGCTTGTCAGTTGTTTATTTATTTATTTGGCTGCATTGGGTCTTAGTAGCGGCACGTGGGATCTTTCTTTGTGGCGCACGGGCTCTTTGTTGTGGCGCATGTGCTCAGTAGTTGCAGCACACAGGCTCAATAGTTGCAGATCGCAGGCTCTCTAGTTGTGGCATGCAGTCTCAGTTTCCCCACAGCATATGGGATCTTAGTTCCCTGACCAGGGATTGAACCTGCATCACCTTCATTGGAAGGCAGACTCTTCACCACTGGACCACCAGGGAAGTCCTGTCAGTAACTTAAAAACATGTAAAACACTCACGTGATTAAGAGTTTGAGATATGAAAGGTATGTTGTGAAGCCTGCCTCCTTCTCTGTTCTTTAGCCCCCTGGTTGGCCCCAGAGGTAACCAGTTGTTCGGTTTCTTTTCTTTCCTTTAGAGATTATGTGGATACCTGAGGGACATGTATCTCTACTTTCTATTTTATTTTATTTTTATAAAATTTATTTATTTATTTATTTATTTATGGCTGTGTTGGGTCTTCGTTGCTGTGCACAGGCTTTCTCTAGTTGTGGTGAGCGGAGGCTACTCTTCGTTGCGGTGTGGGCTTCTCATTGCAGTGGCTTCTCGTTGTGGAGCACAGGCTCTAGGTGTGCAGGCTTCAGTAGTTGTGGCACGTGGGCTCAGTAGTTGTGGCTTGCCGGCTCCAGAGTGCAGGATCAGCAGTTGTGGCACATGGGCTTAGTCACTCCGCGGCATGTGGGATCTTCCTGGACCAGGGTTCAAACCCGTGTCCCCCGCATTGGCAGGCAGATTCTTAACCACTGCACCACCAGGGAAACCCTCTATTTTTTTTTAAACACAAATAGTAGTCTGCTGCACACATGCTCTATATCTGCCCCCCTTCCCTTTGGTTTAAGTTTTCAGCATATCTTTGAGATTATTTCCTATCGTATAGTGTACTTCATCCTTTTGTGTCTACGTAGTATTTCACAGGATGTGTGTCTGTTTTATAGGACCATCCCCTGTTGATGGTCATAGTGCTGCATTGCACATTGGCACATTGTGAGTGTATCTAGGGAAGATCCCTAGAAGCGGGACTGTTGGCCCAGAAAGGATGTGCTTTTGTCATTTTGGTAGTTAGTGTCACGGAATTCTCCAGAGGGGTGAATGATCCCACCAGTGATGTGTGAGAGTTCCCATTTTCACATCTTTACTAACAGAGCAGCGAGTTACCAAACTTTCAGTTTTTGCCAGTCAGAAAGGTGTAAAAAGGTGTTTCTTTGTGGGCCTGACAGGGTTGTCATAAAGGTGTTTCTTTGTGTAGGTGTTCACTGCCTAGACCCTCAGCTTGGGCTGATGGCTGGGACCTCTGGCACTTTTCCACCCCAAATTCAGGTTATCTGGGAGAAAGTGCCTCACCATTGGCTCCTTCTAGCCCAGTACAGCCTCATTCTGACTGCACCAGGGCCAGGCCTTGATTTCTTGAGAGTGTTATATCCAGGAATTCCCTAGGAGAGGGAATTGGTCATCTCTATAAATACATCTCAGGTTTTTCAACTTGAACACAGACACACAGAACATTAAGGTTACAGGGCAGCCTGTTTCTTCAGTGTTCACATGTGGAAAATGTAAAGATTTGCTTCTCTCTAATTCAGTGAAAATATGGTTCACTTTTCCCCCACATTGTCTTGCTTTGTGATGTTTTATTTGCCAGGTTTCCAGAGCAACACACCATATCAACTAATGGGACCGGTTCTGCTTACACCTGGTCTCTGTAGGTGTGCAGTGTGCAGAGTCACACTTTCCCAGTCAGGTCCTGGGTGAGAGTCCTTGTGTGACCCTGGGCAAGTTATTTTGCCCTTTTCTACTTTCTATAAACTGGGCTGGTGATAACTGCCTCAGAGCTGTGAGGACTAAGTGTAGGTACTTTGGAGTCAAACCACAAAGGGCTTTGCATCCTGATGCCATTGCTCGGGAGTTTGGAGACTGTGCCTCCATTTCTTCATCTGAAAATTGGGTACCTTGAGAGCCCCTGCGTGGCTGTATTGAGGCACACGTTTGCTGTGACTGTTCTGCTGACAGCATGGGCTCCTCTTAGGCTCACTGATGCTGCTAGGCAGGCAGGGTCAGGGAGCGCACCTCATGGTCCTGTGTGTGGACGGACAGCCCCCAGCGGCAGTGAGACCTGTGTGCCCCCTGTGCCAGCGGTGTGCCCAGGCCCCCTGAGTAGTTCATGGTTCATCACACCACCCCTGAGTTACAAAGGTGGATAACTTCCTAGTAAGTGGTACCTTGTGATTAGGACTTAATTTTTAGGTTTGAGTACCTTTTTTTTTTTAATCATTTAAACCTGCCTTTTTTTTTTTTTTTTGGCTGTGTTGGGTCTTCATTGCTGCGTGCAGGCTTTCTCTAGTTGCGGCGTGAGGGGGCTACTTTTCGTTGCGGTGCATGGGCTTCTCATGTGGTGGCTTCTCTTGTTGCAGATCACGGGCTCTAGGGGCGCGGGCTTCAGTAGTTGCGGCTCGCAGGCTCTAGAGTGCAGGCTCAGTAGTTGTGCACGGGCTTAGTTGCTCCGCGGCATGTGGGATCTTCCTGGGCCAGGGCTTAAACCTGTGTCCCCTGCATTGGCAGGCGGATTCTTAACCACTGCACCACCAGGGAAACGCTAAACCTGCTTTTTGATTTAGGAACCAATCTGGAATTGAGAAGCACATTGAAGAGAGGGAGGGGCAGTAGGACAGAGCCATCTTTTAAAGAACATGGCAGTTAAGAGACGTCTCTGCAGTATGTCTAGTCTGTGTTGTGAAGTTTACCATTTAATTTTTAGCTTATCAGATGTCTGAGTCAGTTTATATTTTGCTTAGATGCAGCTGGTTGCCTTGATTGGTAAAGGCACTGGCAGAACTGTCGATGTGTATTCCCCACTCAACCCCTGTTGAGCAGATCCCTGGCTGTGTCAGGTGTGAGAGCCCTCTTTTTGGGTAGACAATAGTGGAACTCTGCATCATAGTCTCAGCACGTGTGCATGCATGACCCTTGCACCTCTCAGGCTGGTCTGTTAGGAGCTGTTGTTCCAGGTGAGCACAGGTGGTACGTGACCTGAGTCAGCTCACTGGCACTCTGATCCTGGCAAGTCCCCACCTTGTCAGCAGAGCTGGTCAACTTGACATACTTCCAGGAAATGCAGTGCATGCATGCAAACAAATGCCAGTCATTGGCTTTCCTGCTCGTTTGATTTGAACATAGTGAAATGTTTATTGAGAATATTTGGGGACCAATGACAGGAAAGAGGTCCTGAGTTCCAAGTGTGTGGAGTGAAATCTGGGAGTTGGCCTTGTGGGCAGTGGGGCTTGGCACCATCACGAGCCTCTTTGCTGTCTTGACCTACTCCCAAGTATGCATTCATTTGAAAAGAGGGGACTGTAATCCTCTCCAGTGTCCCTACTGTCCACTCCAGTGTCACACCAATCCTTGAGGAGTGCTCTTTCCTGACCATATTTGGAGGAAGAGACATAGATTATCACTCCTTGGTCCGTTGGCTTAACTTTCACCTGCCTTATTATCATTTCCACCCAGAACTTTCCTTTCTCTATTTTTCAGCGGTGGATCATTCACCCTGTCTAACCTGGTCATCCACTGCTAACCTCACTTGCTGTCTATGTAACATGATGCTGACTTCAGCAACTTGGGAGGTGCTACTTATCACTGGTTCTAGCCTGGCAGTTGGGAAAGTGACGTCCTGTTTGTATGTTTATCTGAAGTTATGTTGGGGCCTTTGACTAATTACGGCAAATTAAGTGCTTAGCATATGTGACTGCTTATTAATTGGTATTTTATTGATTCCCACCAACTCTTTTCAGAGTGTCTTTTCCTTTACCTTTTTGGGTAAGTAGTAACCAGTTTTCCCGCTACTTTAGACGGTGGGCAATAACTAAACGTGTTCACAGCTCTCAGTAACATTTGTTCTATTGTTTTGTTTTGAGGTGGAAGGGGGAACTCTACCCTCAGAACATGAGGGAATAATATTTACGTGGCTCACAAAGACCAGTGAGTACATCATCTGCATCTCCCACGACTCACCAGGAGAGGGCCTCTGACATTAGCTCAGTCCAGCCTTTTCTGACCCTCAGAGACCACTGTTAGTTACGGCCAGGTGTTTTAATTTTCCTCAGAAATTTCTTGGAAACGTTGTTGAGGGATGGGGGTTCTTTTACAAATTTTGGAAATAAATAAATCAGATGAGAAGACCATGCTTTTGAGTGGTCATTTGGTTTAACAGAGCCCCTTGATTGAATGTGATTGTGGACATGTTAGCTGTAGTGTAGCTTCAGATCTTCCCACTGAACCTACAGGCTTTAAGAACCAACCCAGGACTGTTATTTCCTGTCGAACACGTGAGTTCTGAGGTTGTAGGCATGTCACTGACTGTAGCTGTCTGCCTCTCCTGAGCTAGGCGATGGATCACTTGGAGTCGTTTATTGCTGAGTGTGATCGGAGAACTGAGCTTGCCAAGAAGCGGCTGGCAGAGACGCAGGAGGAGATCAGTGCAGAAGTTTCCGCAAAGGTATGCTGGGGAGGCCTTCGCCTCACATTGTTGTCGTAAGAACTGGGCTGCCACCAGGCTAGCAGTCACGGTCACTGCTGAGTGTGCATCTTTGGGGTGGATGGTACCCACTGCCTTGGCTGTTCCCAGTGAGGAGGGAAGGCCGTCGCTGAGCTCTTAGCCCCTCCCCACACTGTGTGTATGGGTTTTTTTGTTTTGTTTTATTTTGTGTGTGTGTGTGCACACGTGTGCGTGTGTTTTAAAGTTTTTTTTTTTTTTTAACATCCCTACATAAAACAGGAAGTGAGAAAAGTTAGCAGGGAAATGGTTAAACTAAGGTGCATCCATATCATGGAAGAAGAAAGTAGATCTGTGTGGAATTGGCCTGTGTGTCATCTGGATGACCCTTGTCTCCTCTTCAGTGGAACTCTCTTCAGTGTCTTTTTTCCTTTCAGTTTTATAAAAGCATTTCTTAGGAAATAGACAGTTGCAAACTGGATCAACGGTGCCGTTTTATTTCTGAAAGCAAATCCCAATAATTAGGCATTTTGCTTCTAGTATAAGTGTATGCATTTAGACCCATGCATTTTTTTACCCTTACCCAGAAGATTGAACTGTAATAGAAGGCATAAAAAGAGATGGCCTAGAAGCTGACCCACATGATGGTCCTTGCAACCTGTTGGCAGTAACAGCGGTGCCACTGCTTTTATTGGAACGTGGTGCACAGGTCTAGTTATGATCAGTCTCAGTGGTGGCGTTAAGGATGTCGTAATTGTTAGAATTCACATGTCATCAGTGAGGGTTTCCAGCTGTTCTAATATTTTCAGTGGAACAGACCAGAAATGCAACAAGAGAAACACTCGTTTTCTTTGCATTAAAAAATCTGTTGTTTTTAGATGTCTCCTTACCTGATTGTTTCTCTCTTCTAGGCAGAAAAAGTACATGAGTTGAACGAAGAAATAGGGAAGCTTCTTGCTAAAGCTGAACAGCTAGGAGCTGAAGGAAATGTGGATGAATCCCAGAAGATTCTTATGGAAGTGGAGAAAGTCCGTGCAAAGAAAAAAGAAGCTGAGGTTGGTGACAGAAATGTCTTAGAGAGGGAGGAAGTAGTAACTCCAGAGTTGACCTTTTGGGCTAAGGTTAAGCCATGCCTTCTTTTTTTGTATACATATTAGGAAGGAGTTGGAAATAAGGTGGTATATTGTCAGGATTGTACGGTTTAGAGTCAGCACACACTGGGGTTTGTGTCTTCACTCTGCCCCTGTGACCCCGTGTGGCCTCAGACTAGGTACTTGCCAGCTCTGCGCATTATTCCCACGTGTAGAGTGCGTCCTGAGTATAACAGTCAGCGGAGGAGTGTTAGTGAGCACCTGCCGTCTGTCCATCTGGCTCCCAGGGAAGGGGCAGCGTGGTGGGTGTTCACCTGGTGTAATTGGGCCAGACTTGCATTGCAGATGCTATGTACAGTGAGGCCTGGTGCTTAGTGACACTGTGTCCTCAATAGAGAGACCCGTGCAGGTTGTGGGTGGTACCCAGGTGGTGTCCGCGAGGCTGCCAGGCCAGGACACACTGCTGTGTGGTGGAGAAGCTGAGTCAAGGACTCAATGTCTGTATCCGTGACAACCGTTTTCCTCCTAGATGATTTCCTCTGTTGCATACTCCTGGTTCTCAAATCTCATTGCTGGAATCGAAGATGGCTTGGGTAGGCTTCAAGAACGGTGGGAATGGTAGTGAGAGGAAGACGGGGCGGGTGTGTTCCTTTAGTAAGTGCTTGTCAAACTCCAGCTATGGGCCAGGCACTTCTCTAGTTGTGAGCAAGCAGGAAGACTCCTTCTCCTGTTGGAGATGATACTGCTGTGGGGAGGGGGGCCAGGCAGAAAGGAATGTGAGCGACGGATAAGCTTAATTCTGACGAAGATGGGTGCAGGGCGTGTCCAGGTAGGACAGAAGGACCCTGGAAGGCCGTTAGCTGAGACCAGATGAGAAGGTTCTCAGAATGGTGGGTAGAGGTGAGATGGCAAAGTGGGTGGTGCCCCAGTGCAGGGCTGGTTTTGGTTGTTGCTGCACCCCCGGCTTGTCATGGTGCCTGATACATAGTAGCAGCTCAGCGATGACACAACGATTCTCAGCTGAATACACGAATCCTGCTGACTGCCTGTGGGTGTTCGAGCGAGGCCCACTGAGGCAATGACGTGTGCATGAAGAGTTGCAAGTCCTGCGTAGAAATCCTACACGGCTGTATACTAAACCTCTGTGTACTTAAATGGGAAATTTATGTTTACATGTACAAAAAAAAGTCAGGCTCCCTCGGTTGCTGACAGCTCCAGCAGAAAGGCCAGAGGGTCAGGAAGGAAGCTCTGCGGCCTCTTAGCGAGTCCTGAGGCCAAGCCTTCCTGCTTTGAAGAGCAGAGCAGACACCAGAAACCCGTGAGATGGCTCCAAGATTTATGCATAGGCTGAATAATTGTAGATGTGGGGTTCACCACTTGGATGTCTGCAGACAGCCAAGAGGGCAGCAGGATAGGGGACCCATGGCAACTTGTGACCAGGACTCCAAGCATCCTTGCTAGAAGGCAGGTGCAAGGACGCTCACAGCAGAACTGGTAAAATGAGCAGCCGTCGGTAACCTGGAAAACCACTCATGGACAAACAGCCATGTGCTGAAATGGAGTCCTGCAGCAGTCAACGAACAGAACACATCTGCCTGCAACATCCTGAAGAGAGCTCTCCAGCAACACAGGTGGGAGAAAGACCTGGAGTGCTGACGCAGGACTTCTAAATGCCCCAGGTGCTCACATGGTTTATGGGTCCACATGTGCAATGAAGTACAGAGACAGCACTGAAGATTATGCTGAACGCACATGAATGCCTCTGGGGAGGGAGAGAACTGGCACTAGAGAGGGAAACATCAGGAACTGAATTTCCATCATAATGTTCTATGTCTTTCATTAAAAGAAAAACAAAAACCTTAAGCAGAAGTGCTGAATATGGTGGGTACACTATTTGTGATATTATTCTGCCCCTCTCTGTAGTTTTAAATCTTTGAATGCCTTCCTCTAATCTCTTTCAAAATCAATTGTAATTATTCTGAGTGAAAAAAGTCAATCCCAAAGGGTTAAATACTATGTGGATCTGTTATATAACATTCTTAAAATGACCAAACCATAAGAATGGAGAGCAGATTGGTGGTCACCAGGAGTCAGAGAAGTGGGTGTGGCTGTGAAGGGGCAGCAGGCAGGACCTTTGTGGTGATGGGTGTTCTGAACCTTGACTGTATCACTCAGTGTCCTTTCTGTGATGTTGTGCTATAGTTTTTAAAGATAGAACCATTGGGGGAAACTGGGTAAAGAGTACGCAGCACCTCTCTGTATCATTTCTTAGGATGACCAGACAGTCTTGCCTCCTGCTAAGGGAAGGAAGAGCACCCTACCCCATCCTGTTCTGTCCTGTAGTTCTGAGGAAGGCCTATGGGGGGCACTCAGGTGATGAGGATGGGGACAGTGGCCGGAGTAAGGACAGTGGGGGTCCTGGGCACCAGAGTGCCTTTCTGTATCTTTGCCAGTTTAGTGAGTGATGTGATGTCTTATTTTGATTTGCATTTCCTAGGGAACGTTTTGAATGTGTGAATTAATGGAAGATTACTACATTCAGTCTTCCCTTTAAGGGCAAATGATTATTGAAATGCATTTCTTAAACCTAGATTTTGAAGGAATGTTTTAACTTTAGCACAAGCGGCAGTAACCATGTTCTGGTTCATTTTCTTTTGTGTTTCGTGTATTTTGCTTTGAAGCCGAGTGACTTTTTTTTTTTTTTAATTTTTGGCTGCATTGGGTCTTTGTTGCTGCACGCAGGCTTTCTCTAGTTGCAGTGAGTGGGGGCTGCTCTTCATTGCGGTGCGTGGGCCTCTCATTGCAGTGGATTCTCTTGTTTTGGAGCACGGGCTCTAGGCGTGCGGGCTTCAGTAGTTGTGGTGTGCGGGCTCAGTAGTTGTGGCTCACGGGCTCTAGAGTGCAGGCTCAGTAGTTGTGGCTCACGGGCTCTAGAGTGCAGGCTCAGTAGTTGTGGCTCACGGGCTTAGTTGATCTGCGGCATGTGGGATCTTCCTGGACCAGGGCTCGAACCCATGTCCCCTGCATTGGCAGGTGGATTCTTAACCAATGCGCCACCAAGGAAGTTCCTAGTGACTTCTTACGATTAGACTCAGACTGCACTGGCTGCAGGAGGGAGTGTGCTTTGTTCCATTTGGCACACTTCCTCCTTTGAAGAGAGTGTCTAATGTATTTGTCGTTCCAAATTTTAGCTTTTGGAGCTGCGTTGGGATACAGTTTCCTGAACATTGGGACAATCTCCGTAGATACTCCTGTGTTTTTTGCTCGTCTCTTTGGTTTAGGTTTTTTGTTTGTTTTTTTAAGACCCCTGTTGAAGATTCTCCCCTCTTGTTTCTTTGGTCTTTGCAGAGCTCTCCACCATAGCAGGGACTCACCTTCCCTGCTGGCCTTTTAGCACACACAGCATCTTGTGTGTCTGAGTGTTCTGAATACCCCTTGTTGCTTTGAAATCATGACTGGTAGTTCATTTCTTAAACAGTTAAAATTGGGCTGGTTACAAGAATCTGAAGCTTTGTAAACAATTCAGTTTTTATGTATTTGAAATCATCTCGGACTTCCCTGGTGGTGCAGTGGTTAAGAATCCACCTGCCAGTGCAGGGGACACAGGTTTGAGCCCTGGTCTGGGAAGATCCCACATGCCGTGGAGCAACTAAGCCCATGCGCCACAACTACTGAGCCCTCATGCCACAACTACTGAAGCCTGCATACCTAGAGCCCATGCTCCACAACAAGAGAAGCCACCGCAACGAAGAGTAGCCCCCGCTCGCCACAACTAGAGAAAGCCTGCGCAGCAACGAAGACCCAACGCAGCCAAAAAATAAATAAAACATTAAAAAAAATAAAAGTCATCTCTAGGGAATTCCCTGGTGGTCCAGTACTTAGTACTTGGCACTTTCACTGCCAGGACCCCCGGGTTCAATCCCACATGCCACATAGCCAAAAAAAAAAAAAAAAAAAAGTCATCTCTGTAGTCCCTTCACATACTTCCATTTTAGGGGCTGAGTAGACAGTGACATTTGACTCTCACTCTTCCCATTCTCCAGGAAGAATACAGGAATTCCATGCCTGCATCCAGTTTTCAGCAGCAGAAGCTGCGTGTTTGTGAAGTCTGTTCAGCCTACCTTGGTCTCCATGACAATGACCGTCGTCTTGCAGACCACTTTGGCGGCAAGTTACACTTGGGGTTCATTCAGATCCGTGAGAAGCTCGATCAGTTAAGGGTATGTTAATGTGTTGCGTTTCTGAAGAAACCCGAGAAGTTTTGTCTTCACATCTCTTTGCTTTTAGAAAACCTTGTGTTATTTTTTTGTTTTGTTTTTTTTGGGCGGGGGGGTTGGTGGAGGTACTGAAAACCTTCTGTTCTGATTCTAAGATCATGCCTTGGTTTTATACTTGAGTTTTACAGTGAACTACTCAGATTTCATCCATATGTTCCCACAAGAGATCTAAGATCTCAGAATCCAGCAGAGCCTGGGATATTTATTTAGTCTGCTACCCCTTGTTTACAGGGGAAAATGGCAGAATTCAGTCCCACGGTACAGAGAGTTCTCGTACCCCTCTGAAAACACTTCTGTTGGTGATGGGAAAGAGCCAGTAGTCTGCAGTTTTTCTTCTTGGATAGAGGCGGACACATGGAGGGTGGTCTGGCTAGAAGGATGAGAAGGTGATGGGGCATTTTCTGATAGCCCTGCCCCACTGCTGGATGCCTGTGTCCCTTCCTCGGGGCTCCTCCTTGTTCTGGGTTAAGCTCTACAACATTCGACATCTTGGGTACGGAATGCCGAGGAGGAAGGTTAAATGAGTTTGTGATATTTTGAATTGTCTTCTTCAAATGGATGGTGTTTTCCCTAATTGTGTACTGGGACCCTATGATGGGATGCTGGGAAATGTGCAAACCTTTTATCCAGACACCTGAAATCTATTGGAAGGACAGACACATGGCACCTGACTGTAGACACCACGATAGTCAAGGCCTTGGGCCTTGTGTGCCCCCAGGAAGGAGCAGCGGGTGGCAGGGCGCTGCACCCAAGGACGGTCCCCCCATAAGTGATGTGCGACTCGGCCCTGGGAGAGGGAGCTGGGTGGCAGTCTCAGCCTGGTCTTGAAACATTTGCCCCTGTGCTCCCAGTAGAATTTTGAAAAATGATATTCTTTGTCACACATTTTTAAGTTGGAATTTTTTTCTTATAAATTTATGGGTATAAAACACGTAAAAATATTTTATATGTAGTCAGTACAATGTAAATAACAATTTGGTGTCAACTACCATCCCCATTAAAAATCTGCTTCTTAGGGAATTTCCTTTAAATTGTCTTCCCATTCCATAACACCCCAGAATTTTGTCCTAATGTTTCTTATATCTGAAAGCCTTTTGTTTTCTTCTTAAGATGTGCCTTTGCTTCAGAATACATTGAAACCTTTAGAATTTAAGTATTCACCTGATCTAGAAGTCATGTATTGTCATTGCAGTTATGAGCAGTATATAGTTGATAGAACAACCCAACTAAGTTACAGATTTTAATAAATAGCTGTTAAACTATCAACAGAAAATGTATTTGGAAGTGCACCTCTTAACGATAAGGAAGGTGGGAGTTGTGTGCCCTAATCAGAGATGGCTTCACTCCCAGTGGTACCGGAGGTGTGCACCCCCTCTGGGCTGTGCACCCCCTGGGCCATGCTCCAAGGTGGATGCAGGGTGAGAAGAGTGAGGACTTTCCTCAGGTGGGGGAACCTAGTGTTTTAGGGAGTGGGGAGGGTTTGGGAAGAAGGTGATGCCAGCCCACAGGCCGGTTCTCCGCCTCTCCTTGTCCTGGCCACGCCTTCTCTTCCTGGGGCCTGGCTCCCATCCGAACTGAGATTTAAGGTCACCCTTTATGCCCTCTCGGGCCTTTGTCTCCTGGCTCTAAGTTCCTCCCCCTCAGGGTCTTCCCCTCAGCAGCGCGAGGGGGGGCATTGAAAGGCTCCGAGTTGATTTTGGGGTGCTCTGAGCTAGCCAGTGGATGGTGCTCTGGCAGGGGGGTTGCTAGGCCACTTCCTGCCTGTCTGCCTTCCTTGTCCACTGTGTTCACCATGACCCAGCCTGATGGGACGTGTGGAGCCTGCTATCCCCAGGAAGCCCCGCCAGCACCCTGGGACGGGCTGCAGCTTGGCAGGGCAGATTGGCTCCTGCAGCAAGATGGATTCGGTCAGATACATGTTTTCTCTTTTACATGAAGTTTGTGGAGTCTCCTTGGGGTAAAAAAATTTATGGATTGATTTGAGCAATATAAAATTTCTGTGAATTAGATGTACAGCACTTAGGATATGTAGTTTGTCACTGAGCTTGTAAAATGATAAAGCGTTTTTTTTTCCCCATGTATTTTCCATTGTTTAAGAGGTTTTATGAAGAATGTGTCCCTGTTTCCTGAGTTTCTCTTAGGTTCTTAAATTGCCAGTATTGAGGTCACATAAAGGTGCTTTGTTCAGTAATGTTCACTGTAGTGTGTGACTTGTTCCTCCCCCATCTTCCAATTTTTTGTTTATTTAGAAAACTGTGGCTGAAAAGCAGGAGAAGAGAAATCAGGATCGGCTGAGGAGGAGAGAGGAGAGGGAGCGGGAAGAACGACTGAGCAGGAGGTGAGCACATGCGACCTGAGGACACCCCACTTCTTCCTGGCAGCGCTGCATATTTACTGCCCTTGACAGTTGAGGTCTGCCAGTTACCTGGGTGGCTCTTAAAAGAGAAATAAATACATAGCACGTTCGGTCAAGCGAGGTTCTGGCTGGTCCAGGAGGACCTGTGTGCACAGCTGTGTGGTGTGGACAGGACACCCAAGCCGCTTGAACAGCTGTGGCCACCTGATTCTTACCTAGAAAGATGTGGACTCCCTGGCAGGGGTGGAGGGGGACCTGTCACAACACCTCCTGTGGAGCAGCCCTTGACCAGCAGGACAGGCAGGAACTGAGACACCAGAGAGGAACATGTTCTCACGCCGCCATGCCTGCTGTGGGCAGGACCCACCAGGGACGGGCTCCGGTGTGGGCCCAGGCTCGTGGGTGGTATGGTAGAAGCAGAGAGAACGTGAGCTAGCTGGGGTCCAGGCCAAGGAGGTGGCAGTTCGAACCCTGTGAGGGCCAGGAGGGAATGATGTGTTCTGGGGGTGGAGCTGATAGGATTTGCTAGTGGACAGAGCGAGTTCTGCAAAGGGGGAGTGGAGCTGGCTCAGGGTTTCTGACCAGGAGTGGCCGCTTATGGCGGTGGGGAGACTGGGAATGGTGTGTTGGGATGAGAAGGAGGTGGGGAGGAGAATTTGGCTGTGGCCGTATTTGGGCCTAAGACACATCCCTTCAGCCTAAGAGCCATGCAGGTGGAGACAGCGGGTCTGGTCAGAGTTCAGGGAAGAGGCTGGAGCACCAAGTAACCACGCTCTCATATTGGGTACAGAAACTGGGCTTTCCTAGAGGAATTCCTTAGTGAATAACTCAGGACAAATAATCCTTTATTGTATGTTTTGTGTTTCTTTTCATTATTTTAACTATCTAACAGATTCTGATTATAAATAGACTCAAAACAGTGTAAAAATATATTAAGCAAAAAGACACAGAGGTGACGACAGTCGCTGGACATGTTGTGTGAATGGGTATATGTGGGACCCTCCACATGTGAGACCTTCCCATAGCAGCTGTGCTCTTGAAGGCTACACAAAGTCCCTACTATGATGCTGTAATTAACTATATCCTTTTATTCTCCCACCTTCACCCCTTTTGTCCACCCCCATTTCCCTACCTCTGGCAACCACCAGTCTGTTCTCTGTATCTATGGGTTTGGTTTTTTTTTGATTTCATATATAACTGAGATCATACAGTATTTATGTTTTTCTGTCTGACTTATTTCACTTACCATAATGCTGTCAAGGTCCATCCATATTGTTACACATGGCAGGATTCCATCTTTTTTGTGGCTGAATAACATCCCACTGTATAGGTACAACCACATCATCTTTATCCATCTATCAGTGGACACTTAGGTGGTTACCATGTTTAGGCTACTGTAAATAATGCTGCAGTGAACATGGGGGTGCAGCACCAATTTACATTCCCACCAACAGTGCACAAAGATTCCTATTTCTCTGCATCCTCACAAACAAGTGTATTTCTTGTCTTTTTGATGACAGCCATTCTGACAGGTGTGAGGTGATTATCATTATGATTCTGATTTGCTTTTCCCTGCTGAATAATGATGTTGAGCAATTTTTTATGTGCCTGTTGGCCATCTGTTTGTCGTCTTTGACAAAATGTCTATTCAGGACCTCTGCCCATGTTTTTACCTTTTTTTTTTTTCCGCTTCTGTTTAGAGTTCTTTTTGTTTTGGATATTAGCCTATTATCAGATACATGATTTGCAGATATTTTCTCCTGTTCAGTAGGTCTCCTTTTCATTTTGTTGATGGTTTCCTTCACTGCGCAGAAGCTTGTTAGTCTGATGTAGTCCCACTTGTTGACTTTTGCTTTTGTTGCCTTTGCTTTTTATGTTTTTTAAAGCCTTTGCTTTTTTTTTTTTTTTTTTTTCGGTACGCGGGCCTCTCACTGTTGTGGCCTCTCCTGTTGCAGAGCACAGGCTCCAGACACACAGGCTCAGCGGCCATGGCTCATGGGCCCATCCGCTCCACGGCATGTGGGATCTTCCTGGACCGGGGCACGAACCCGTGTCCCCTGCATCGGCAGGTGGACTCTCAACCACTGTGCCACCAGGGAAGCCCAAAGCCTTTGCTTTTTAAAAAATGTTTTTGATTAAGTTTTTATGAAACTGTTTTTGAACGAGTAATCTAGTGACCATCTTTGTATGAGTTTGAGGGTTTATAAAATTCCTTAGAATTCCTGGGATAAAGGAATATAATATATAAATATTGGTAGGTGTTACAAAAATTGCTTTTCAAGAGGCTTTGTCAGATCACCCTCCAGCCACATGATGTGTGAGCATCTTTTGTCACTTCCTCCTTGAGCACACGTTGGTGGTGATCTTGTAAATTTCTGCTTGGAATGAAATGAGACCTCATTGTAAAGTGCATTTCTTAGTTGTTGGTTGTATAATGTTTCCCAGGGAGCTCATGTGACACTCACTGGCAGTGAACCTGTGTTTGCAACTTGGGTGTCCTGCCCAGCCCTGCACCTGCCATGTGACTATCTGTGTAGCTGAGGTGGTGTCCATTGTGAAGAGTTTGCAGAGCCACTGGTTCAGCTCAGTGCAGCATGGACCCCTGGGTGCTGGTCTCTGCGTTCTGCCTCCAAGCAACTGGGGCTGGAGGCGGGCCTTATAGCAGGTCCTCTGGGAAGTCGGCCCTCCTTCACCACATGAACTTGAGGCACCTCCCCTCAGCTGTAAGGGATGGAGCTGTTTTTGGGAAATTTTTCATCTTTTTTTCCATTTTAGGTCTGGATCAAGAACCAGAGATCGCAGGAGGTAGGTTTTCCGTTTATGTGTTCTCAGTGAGATGTTCTTTTCTATATGCACTTAATACTTAACCTTTATAGCTTCATAGTTATTATCTGGTGGTCAGGTCTGGCTCATGAAGAGCACAGGAGGTGGGTGAGACTCCAGTCCCGTTTGTAGCTGGCGTTGGCTGGGGCTTAGTGCAGCGTGGGAGTGGGGACCCACTGTCAATGGGAGGGACAGTCAGGGCGCTACTGGGGCCTGCTGGGCAGCCAGGAGTTTCCTGGCCAATGTACAGGACGCGTCAGCGGGAAGGGTCAGGCCGTAGTTACCAGAGAGTAGTTGGTGGGATTATTGTGAACCCAAGTTGTAAGTTTGTGGGAGGAGGGGAGATAACAGTAAAGCATCAGCAGAACATCTGCTGCAGGTCACGCTCCCGGGACCGGCGTCGGAGGCGGTCAAGATCTACCTCCAGAGAGCGGCGGAAGTCGTCCCGGTCCCGGTCCCGAGACAGACACCGGCGCCACCGAAGCCGTTCCCGGAGCCACAGCCGGGGCCACCGCCGGGCATCCAGGGACCGGAGTTCGAAATACAAGTAACTACTATGACTCCTTCAGCGGCTGCGTCCAGGAGTGAACCCTTTCTTTGTGTGTCAGGGTCTGGGGGTCTGTCATCTATGGGACAGAGTGTTAGGGCCTTGAGGAGTCCTGAATGGGGCCCAGGGCACTGAGAGCCCTAAGCCGAGGGCAGCAGATGGCTTCAGGGCTGGGACGGTTGAGAGGCTGAGGAGGTGGTTGCACGTGGGCATGGCCACGCTCAGGGGCTGCACACTCACTGTCACTTTGGTACACAGAGCCCCTGACTAGGCCCTGCTTACCTCTGTTGTGGTTTTTTAAAGGAAAAAGAGCAACAACAAAAAACACCACTAATGATCATATTCAGAGACGACCACTGTTAGCTTTGGTATGATGGATTTAAATATCTTTTTTTCCATTGTGTTTTTACATAATGGATCGTATTCCATGTGTGGACTCTTGTTGTATTTTCCTTTGCAGTGTTTACATTATAGTGAAAGCTTTTCCTGTTACTAGAAACCTTTGCAGATGTCACTTTCTAGTGGCTGCCCAGCCCTCCCTGGGCAGTGGGTTGGGCACGAGACGGCAGGCCTGGCACCCTCTGGTCTGCTAGGGCCCTTCCAGCTGTGGTGGGTCCTACCCTTACCTGGCCTGATGCTGAGGGTCCAAGGTGTCAGTGCCTGAGGAGCAGCCAGGAGGGAGGGCCAGCCCTTGCTGAGCCTCTGGTTCCTGTTTCCCAGGTTCTCCAGAGAGCGGGCCTCAAGGGAGGAGTCCTGGGAGCGCGGGCGGAGTGAGCGGGGGGCCACCGACTGGAGGCTCGAGAGCACCAATGGGAAGACCGCATCACGGAGGTCGGAGGAAAAGGAGGCCGGCGAGATCTGAACCCACGCCCAGGCGCTGTAAATAGTCCGATACATGTTTGACACAGCCTAACGTTACCCTTTATATTTGCTGAATACAGCTCATCTTTTGTAGTTTACCATTTCTATTGTTTTGGAGCTAGCTGTGAGTTTCTCGAGATGTACAGAGTTGCTCCTGTGTTCTGGGTTATGTCAAGTGGGAATAAATAGCCTGACAGACTGCTTCCTGACGGCCGCGGTGCAGTCTCTCCTGTCCCCGGTGCGCTAGACTTCGCCGTGGCTTCCACAGGTTGGGGGACACACCAGGGGTCATCTGGCTTGAGCTTAGAAATGTGACTTACTGTTGGACTCCCCTTTGACTTTTGGCATATGATGTGCTGTGCACCTCCAACACCCAGACTGGCTGGGGCCGGATGTGCCCGGCCGTCTGCTCTGTGGGCTCCACGTCTTTCTGAAGTCTGAGCTGCCCTCTTACCAAGGACTGCCTGTCTGGTTTGTGGTAAGCAGCCTCAGCATGGCACTCGAGCTCAGATGAACTACAGTTCCCTCTCTTGGAGTTACTTAGGGCCAAGAAAGACCCGTGGATAGTATCTGCATGACAGCCACGAGGTCTTCAGAGGGGGGCGTGCTGACTTTGGGGTCAGGTGTGGTTTGACTCACCCTTGGGGGGCCTGGTGGTGTTACCCACTCTCCCTCAGCCCTTTTGCACGTATTGCTAAAGTGAGCCCTTCGGAAAAGTTTAACTGGGAGCTCTTTTCTTGTTTTTACTTTTGTGGGGGTATTTTTGGAGGGAGCTTCTGGCTGGGCCAGAACATGCTGGAACATAACCCTGCTCACAGTGGGAGACCACTGGGAAGCCAGGGGTGAGTATCTGTCTGGTAGGTGGGTGGAGGTGTGCCCTCCCAGGTGGGAAGTGGATACAAGTTGGCAGAAAGCCTGGGTCGGGGGCAGGGCAGGGGGTGTAAAGGTCTCCTGGGAGGGGAGAGGCAAAGGGGGTGAGGGCTGTGGTCATGGGTTCCCGACTCAACGGTGTAGCCTGGCCTGTGACGGCGGGGGCTGGACTGAGCGGGAAACCAGGAGCAGGGCTGCACAGCTCCTCACACCTCCATTTGTCACCTCCGGAAGGGATGTTTTGGGGTTTTGTTCTGTTTTTATTGTCGTGCAGTACACATACATTTACCACTGTAACCATTTGTGAGTCTACAGTTGAGTGGCAGTCACTGTGGTGGCCACTGTCCATAGAGGGGTGGTTTTGAAGAGGCAGAGGGCAGATGGTGTCCCTGTACTTAGGAGGCCTGGGGTCCCAGCCAGAAAGCAGGTGGCGCTGGGGTCAAGACGCCCAGGAGGGCCTGGAGGGCGGCTTCTGCTCCCCTTACACCTGGACGCTCACCAGTCAGTCCAGGACCAGGCAGTGGGTGCCCTTGCTACCTGGCTCTTCCAGCCTCAGTGCTGGAGGCACCCGCCTGCCCCTGGCACATCACAGGGCCTGAGAGCCTGGTTTCCCTGACCCCTGAGCCTTGGGTTCTCCGTGTTGGCCCAACTCCTGGGAGCAGGAGTGCAGTAGACCGGCCGTGGCCCTCTGCTCTGGATGGGCAGAGGAAGAGGTCAGACTGCTGGGGGCAGTGCACAACCCAGGACACCGAGGCTGCTCTGAGGATGCCACAGCGCACCCTGGGTGGGTCCCAGCAGAGGGCCTGGTAGGTGGGTGGAGGACCCGGAGGGTGCTGAGAGGAGGGGACTGGGGCCGGAGGGGCCACCTACCTGAGCCCCCTCACTCCTTGTTAAAATACTGATGTGGGGAATCACTTATTTTACAGGGAAGAGCAGGGATGCAGGTAGGGAGGTGATTGCAGTCCTAGCAGAGAGTTGGTTCGGCCCAGCCAATAGGTACAGATGCTTCCGGGGCCCATGGTGATGGTGGGCCCTAGGCCCCTGGGGTCAACCCCAGGGCTCTGTGGTGCCCTCACACCCTCCCTGTCACCAAGTTCTCAGGGACTCCCCCACACACACCATGCTTCTGGCCACTGGCAGGGGTGGGGTGTGGCATGGTGGTAGCACCTTGTGTAGGTTGTGGAGTCTCCTAAGTGCACGGAGGCCCCAGGCTGTTGGGGGGGCAAGGCTGTTTCGGCTGCTGTCCCCTCTCTTCCTGGGGGTCTCTAGCCAGGCCCAGAGCTACAATCTAGGGAAGGGGGAGGGCTGGAGGATCTGTGCTGGCCCTGCTGCTGCGTGGGAGCCCATTGCATCCAAGGCAGCTCCCAGGCCCTCACTGCTTCATGTGGATACAGGGATATCCTCCCAGGATGTAGCTGGGTGCTCTTGGTTGGGCCTGGGGGCTGGGGGGCCGTGTCCAGTCATGGTTTGTGTGATTTGGGGAGGGGGTGTGCACAAGCAGTGCCTCTGGTGGTCCCCCTGCATGGGAATGGGATGGGGGCCACAGTGGGGCTTAGAACCCACACGTGGTCCTGCTCTGGGGAGACTGGGTCAGCTAAGTGGTGTTTAGACTATTGCATGTCATTGTCATCTGGAGGACTTGTTAAAACAGGTGGCTTCCCCCCCACCCTCCCGCAGACTTTCTCTTGGTCTAGGGAGGGGTCCAAGAATGTAGACCTTTTTTACTATTTTGCAGGTAGAATTTTTTGATTGAGATAAACGCTCCTACCATGAAGTTCAACATTTTAACCACTTTAAAGTGTATGGTATCGTGGGTTTTGTATATTCACAATGTTGTGCTATCTAGTTTATTACTGTGTAGCTGTAGAATATTTTTATCACCCCAAACCCTGTACCCATTAGCAGTTACTCCCCCTTGCCTCTGGCCCCAGCCCTGAACAACCACTAATCTACTTTCTGTCTCTGGAATCACACGATGTGACCTGTGAGTAGCACCTCTTACTACTGAGCATGGGTTGGAGGGTTCATCCACCCTGTAGCCTGTATTGGTACCAAGAATGTAAGTTTCCTTGGGCTGCTGGTGCTGCTAGTCTGGAACACACTGAGAGCTGGACTGGGGGCAGCAGGAGGGGTCCCCGACAGCTGGGCCACCAGCTGCAAACCCTCAGTGGCATCTCTCCTAGGATGTGAACTGAGCTTCTGTCCAACTCCTTAGAGCAGGGCTTCAAGCTCTTGCCACCAGGGCACATGCGGAAGATAACACTTGTTCTGTTTGGACTGGAGGAAAAGAGGGTTGAGTCCTGTCCACAGTTGCTGGTGCATTGTATTCCTTTATGTCCACTGCACAGGCCCTAAGCCCGGCCCTCAGACAACCCTTCCTCCTCCCACACCCCTGGGCACACTCCAGCACAGGAGGCTTTGGTGCCACGTGGCCCTGGGCGCGGGGTCATAGGCAATAAAGCTGATGGCTGCTTGAGGACCTACACGTCTGCCACCAAGTGCCAGTGATCCCTGGTCAGAGGCAACCCTCTACCCCCTGCCCCCAGGCACCTGGGAGTCCACTGGGAAAGCCCAAGGGGTCCCTGGGGTCCATGCATGTCCTGAGCACCCACAGCTCTCTGGCGCTTTCTGGCCTCTTCTGCTCTTCCATCTTTCCCTCCCTGGGGCATCTGTTCCCCGCCCTCCATGGCTGGCTCCCTTCCCCATGTCATCCCCACAGCCTGGCCTGCCTGATTTCCTTGCCCAGTGCCCGTGGGGCTGGGGGTGCCCTCCCAAGGAGGTTGTGCGAGGAGCACTGTCCTCACTGTCCAGGAGAGAAGTCGCGAACGGCCAGCCAAGGGGACTTCCCGCACCTGGATCCTGACCACCTTCATATTTTAATTTTTATTGAGATGTAATTGACAAATGTTGTTATGTTTCAGGTGTAATGATTTGATACATGTATATATTGCGACATGATTTTTTTCTTGTGGTGAGAACTTTTAACCTCTACTCAGCAACTTCAAACATAACACAGTATCATTGTATATATAGTATGATGCTTATAATTACATAATAATGTGATATATTACAATACAGTATTGTATTGTCCTGGGCCTCCTTCTGAAGCTGCTAGTGCCTCCTTTAGAGCCCCACCGAAGTTCAGCCTGCCTGGGAATCCAGGCCAGTCAGCCCCAGGCCAGGCCCAGGCTCTGTACAGAAGAAAGCACAAAACACTTTGTTTAGAGAACGAGGAGCAGGCCCTGCATGTGCACCCGGGTCCAGAGATAGGACATCTCCAGCTCCTGGGAGCCCCCATCTTCCCCCACAATCCCTGTCAGAGGTCTCTGCTCTCTTTGAAAATCACTTACCACGAACAACACACATTTAGTGTCCACCGCTTCTTAGCATCAGGGTTCCCAGAGCTGCAGTCAAGGGGTGTCATCTGAGGCTGTACTGGGGAAGGGTCCTCCCCAGCTCACCTGGTTGTGGCAGCAGTCAGCGGCTTTCCAGCTTTGGCAGGAGGCCCTGCACAGGGTGGCTCAGGGCAGCGGGTGAGGGAGAGGGTCTCCTAGCAAGACAGGCAGCACCTCAGTCCTGGGAGTGCCTTCCCATTCCCGCCCCAAATCCTGTGGGTTAAAAACAAGACAAGTGGTCGGGGGGTGGGGGTGGGGGAGCGCGGGCGAGAGAGACATGGAGACAGCAAGTGCTGGAGAGGGTGTGGGAAACAGTTACCACAGAGCCCAGCAGAGGTCCACTCCTTGAGACACACTTGGGAGAGCTGAAAGAGACTCAGAAATCCTTGTACAAGCGTGTTTATGGTATTCACAGTAGCCAGAAGGTGGAAACAACCCAGATGTAACAGATACAGGGGCAAACAAAACCCAAAATGTCTGTTCCTACAATGAGATATTGCTCGGCCTAAAAGGGACTGGAATTCTGATGCGTGTCTAACATGAATGAGCCTTGAAAACCTTATGCTGGGTAACAAGCTGGACACAAAAGACCATGTACTGTATCCATTTCCATGAAAAGTCCAGGATCAGTAAATTCACACAGACAGACAGTAGGTGAGTGACTTTCAGGGGCTGAGGGGGGAGAGGCATGGAGGGTGACTGGTAATGGACACAGGGTTTTCTTTCAGAAGATGAGAAAGTTCTGGAACTAGATAGAGGTGATGATTGCACACCATTGTGAATGTACTAAGCACCACTGAATTGTACACTTTAAAATGGTTGAAATGGTAAATGTTATGTGTATTCCACCATATTAAAAATAAAAAGCTTGGGGGAGGGATGGATTGGGAGTTTGGGGTTAGTAAATGCAAACTATAATATGTATGTATAACTGAGTCACTGCTGTACACCAGAAACTAACACAACG